AGGGAGGACCAGAGATGAAAGAAGGAGTTTCAGAATGGTGTTCAGCCCCTCCTTTCTTTGCACTCTACTCAGCGAATTCCATGCACTGTGTTGCTGACAGGTTGCTGTGAAAGGAGAGTAAGGGTTTCTAATAAACTGTGTTAGTATGGTTGCTTATGAAATAGAATAATCTACCCCCAGACAATGCTGATATTCAAAAAAGGCTGCAAAACCTGATGTGAATCTTCAGTGTATTCTACCTGTTTTCTGTAGAAAATCTCCTTTAAAGGATACGCCATGGAGGGGTGCAAAGGTGCCTGTTTTTTTTTTTTTTTCCAGGAAATTTACCTAAAGTTTCCAAACTTGCAGTGGGCTAATGAAGGCCTGTGGCGCTCCATCTGCATGCCCTGCCACCTGCCTATTCCCCTCAGAAGCATATAATGGATTTTTGCATATAATGTTTGCTATTGTTTGGTTCTGGGGCTTTTAAGACAGTATGTATGGATGTATGTTTTTGTATGTATGTAATGGTATGTTTGTATGTGTGTAATGGTCATCCCTGTTCACACTTTGAGTCCTGTTTCCATGACAGTCCCTTTAGAACTGATTACACTGTTTCTCAGGAAGGGTCTTTGGAAAACCATCATTTTACAGGTTCTGCAGTTCGTTGGTTTGGAAATAGATTTTTTTTCCTTAGTAACTTAATTTCAGATACTAGAGGAACTTTGCAGATGCCTGTGGAGGAGAACAAATACATACGTTTATCTGATCCCACTGTGCACACAAAGAAAACATCATCTCGCGAGCATTCATGTCTTTTTCTTCATCCTCTGATTTCCACCATCAGACATGGGCTCAGCCCGTAGCTCTACTCGGCTGTGTGAGCAAGGGAACTATAGTTTATGTATCTAATCCTCATTGGCTTTATCTGCAAGACTCAGAATATCAGTAGCTGGTTTTGGAGGTGGACGTAAGATGTTATCCTGTGTGTAGAGCGCTTCAAGCTTTGTGCATAGGAGGCAATGAGAACTGTTGGAAACGAGACAGGCATTGTTCTCTCTCAATGAGGCGGCAGGGAGCATCTTACCAGGTCATTAGTCCCTACAAGACACAATAAAGTGGCTTAAAGTGATTCTTCATGTTAGTGCACTTGGCTCTGCTATTGAAAAATTGGATTTTCTCCTCCCAGAGGCTCTGTCTAATTTCATCCTGAACTGTCTCCACGAGTGTGTTATCATTGATGCCTTTCATGTTCCAGAGATAGAACAGGTGCCGATCACTGAAGCTGTTATGGAAATAAACCTAAAAGACTGTATCTGGCTTACCATGAAAGACTAGAATCTATGTGCCCATGTCAAGAGGAAAGTAACCAAGGTGTAAGTTCAATGACACCAAGAAAAATATTTGCTTAGGCAAAATAAACGGTCCTCCATTTGCTAAGGCAAATCCACATGGACAGGAGCCAGAGCTTAAGCTTTCAAGCTAAAAGGATGTAAAATTACTGGATAATTCTAAAATTCATGTTGGATTTATTTATTTCCCAGAATTCACTTATGTAGAACCGTGAAAAAACTTATCTGAGAACATTAACTTCAGGTGGAAATTTTTAGTAGGATCCAAATATAAAGACACTTGATAATAAATTGGTTATACTTTCTGTATTTTTGCAATTACAACTGTGATTAGTATATACACACAACATAGATAAACACAGATACATAAGAGAGTCAGGAACAAGTGATGTGTTTTGATTACAGGGATGTGGCATTTTAAATAATCACCCCACTGACCATGCTTTGGCAACTACTATCTAGAAATCCTGTTAAATCGTGTTCTAAATAAAAGTTATTAAATTAATATATGATCCATCATCTCTAATGGCCTGAAGACTTTACTTCAGATAAAAGCAACCTGTGTGTATTTGTGTGTTTGTGTTTGTTTGTGTATGTGTGTGTAGTTGCTGAGACTCAGTTTGGGAAGCTCATGTTGGCTGAGTATGGCCTGTGGCAGGTAGTGACTTTAATCTGAAACTCTATTCACCATCTATTTGTCTCTCTTTTCTTCTCCTTCTTCCTTCTTCTATTTTCATGCTCTTTGTTTCTTTTTTATTTTTAAATTAAATGTTACGTATATGAATGTTTAGCTCATATATGTCTGCGTATCATATGTATGCCTCTTCCCTGTAGAGAAGGGGGCATTGGATCCCCTGAAATCAGAGTTACAGATGGTTATGAACTCCCATGTAGGTGCTGGGAATAGAACTCTGGTCCTCTTGCCAAAGTTGAAACTCCTGAACCATTTCTCTGGATCCAACTTTTTTTTTTTTTTTTAAAGTCATCTTGAAGCTTAGGTTTGCTTATAAATAAGCTGTCATAACATACAGAAGATATGCTCCAAAGTGCCCTGGTTTCCATTATAAAATAACATCATTTTTTTATATTTTTTCTGTTTACCAGAAGAGCACAAACGAGGCTCTAAAATTGAGAAATAATCTCTGAGTCAATCGGAGAAGAGTGTGCCAATATCAAGTTTATATTGTTTACAGTTATAGAGAGCTCTCATCCATAAAAGATTCCATTTTATTGTAAGAGTTCCTTTTAAAAAAGAGCATGAGATACTGATTTCAATATTCATTTGAAGATATGAATATTCACCATTTTCATGTGAGATATTTTCATAAGGAGAAATCATACTATGTTTATTTATCTGTTCTAAAATCTGTTTTATAAAGCTCTCCTTAGAAAACAGGGAATAGGACAGGAGACTGCCACAGAGGGCCTCTGAAAGGCTCTACCCTGCAGGATATCAAAACAGATGCTGAGACTTATGGCCAACCTTTGGGCAGAGTGCAGGGAATCTTATGAAAGAAGGGGGGAATAGTAAGACCTGGAGAGGACAGGAGCTCCACAAGGAGAGCAACAGAACCAAAAAAATCTGGGCCCAGGGGTCTTTTCTGAGACTGATACTCCAACCAAGGACCATTGGTGGAGAAACCTAGAACCCCTGCACAGATGTAGCCCATGGCAGTTCAGTGTCCAAGTGGATCCCATAGTAATGGGAACAAGGACTGTCTCTGACATGAACTGATTGGCCTACTCTTTGATCACCTCCCCCTGAGGGGGAAGCAGCCTTACCAGGCCACAGAGGAAGACAATGCAGCCAGTCCTGATGAGACCTGATAGACTAGGATCAGAAGGAAGGAGAGGAGGACCTCCCCTATCAGTAGACTTGGGGGGGGGGGCATGGGGGGAGAAGGTAGAAGGAGGGTGGGGTTGGGAAGGGAAGAGGGAGGGAGCTATGAGGGGATACAAAGTGAATAAAGTATAATTAATAAACATTAAAATAAAAAAAGTATTTTTAAAAAGCTCCCTTAGTTCCTAAAATATGATTGGGTTCTTAAAGGGAATTTGTGTTCCAATAACAAAGTCATTCTGTTTGGAATGAATAAGGAAAACCTTATTGTTTAGTCATTTCAGAGGAGGGATGTTTTATACTGTAAGTTTTAAATAAGGCCTCATCTTAGTTACTTTCTATTGTTGTGTTAATACACCACAGACAAGGCGATTTCTAGAAGAGAGAGTTCATTTGTGGCTCACAGTTTCAGAAGGTTTACATCCATCCTGGTGGGGAGCATGACCCTGGGCAGGCAGACACGGCTCTGTAGCAGTAGCTGAGTTACATCTTGATCCACAAGTGTAAACCAGACAGCGCTAACTGGGAAAGGGCATGCATTTTTCAAACCTCAAGTCCACCCCCAATGACACGTCCTCCAACAAGGCCACACTTCTTTAATCCTTTCTAAACAGCTCCGCCAGCTGGAGACCAAACATTCAGACATATGAGCCTATGGGGGCCGTTCTCGTTCAAATCCCCCCGAGGCCACCTGCTTCACTGCTGATGGCAAGCTTTGTAGCACAGCCCCGGGATGTTAGTACTGTCCTCCACCCTCATGCTTAGGTTCCAGCCCTGGAGCTCAGCATGTCAGTTTGCAGCATCTCGGCTGGTCCTGTTCTCAGGTACCAGAGGGGCGGCCTTAAAACACTCACCATATAACGCCTGGAATATTCCCTCTTTGGGGTGTGTTCATATCTTAGCTGTGGCTTTCTCCGTTTTCTCCAGAAAATATTGTCTAACTTTTTTTTTTTTATTTTAAAATTTATCATTTTCTCCTAATGTTTGGCACGCTTATCACTGTTAGTGAGGGATATTGAAAGCCCACCTTGGGAAAAGGGGCGATGGAGAGATTAAATCCCCTATCCTGTTCACTGTCCTCTCTAGGAGTTTCCTGCTGTTGCGATAGTCAGCTCACCCCTAGCGATGCTTCAAGTTTGGATCTTCTAATAAATGGTCTTATGTAGACTCTCATCTACATATTTCAAACATGCCATTTTAGAGATGGTGTAAAGATTTCCTGTCTAACCCACGCCGTTTTCCCTCCAGCTGATGTCTCAGTGAGTGTGGACCCGCCGCGGTACCGAGCCAGGATGTGTGTTGCTGATGACTAGCTCCCATGCTTCTTCCCCAGACATCCTCCCTCCTTTTTTGCCATGCCTTACATTCTAGGATTCCATCCTAGAAGCCACAATCACATTTATTTGTCTGGGCTGCAACAGTTTTATTGCTTTTGATAACCTTGATAATTTTAAGGGTTACTGGCTCGGAATTCTTCAGAATTCACATCTGTGTTTATCCCGTTAGCAAACTGCCTTGGAAGATCTTAAAGGTATGTCGCCAATCTCCTCTCACTGTATCCGACACCATCAGTATGACTGAGAACAGTTGATACCAGTCTTGCCCTTGGCTTGAGATGCTTTTTTTTTTTTTTTAAACTTTTCCCTGAAGACTAACCAAGCATTTTCTTAGAAACATTAATAATCATTTTAGCTGAGGCTATCAGGAGCTGACAGGAGCTGCCCTTTCTTTCTTTATTGGTGAAGCTGTAAAGCTGCTATAAGTTTCTAAGTGTTAGGAAAGAAATACTTTCAGTGGTGATGAAGAACGTCTCTTTTCATGTGTTGCAGGTGGGAATGAGGTCCCGAAACCAGGGTGGAGAAAGCTCATCTAATGGGCACGTCTCCTGCCCCAACTCCTCCATCATCGGCAGTGCCGGTGATCTAAGACCCTCAGAAGACGCAAAAAAGAACAAGGCAAATCGGAAGGAGGAGGATGTCATGGCTTCGGGAACTGTCAAACGGCAATTCAAACCATCTGGAGAAAGTGAGAGAAAGACTAAGAAGCCACTGGAGCTATCCAAGGAGGACCTCATCCAGCTCCTGAGTATAATGGAAGGAGAGCTGCAGGTAGAGTCAGTCTTGTTCCGCTCACGTGCTGCTAGCTCTCGACCTAGAGAGTCAGAAGTCTGTCCCTCACTGGACTGTGAGAACGCATCTTTGGGAAACGAGGCTTTCATCCTCATTTGTGTCTAAATGATATTTATGTCTAAATGTCTAATGTTGGCACAGGTCTTCACTGAATAAGTATTTGTTTAAAGAATGACAAGTGGCCAGGTACTGATGTCCTTCTTCCAACTTCTGGAAGCATAAAGTTTTGTCCTGATATAACTCAACAATAATTTAATGCAGATTCTAGAAAGAGGCTACCTGAAGTGGACAGGGCTCTGACTGAGAGGTGTAGAAATGTTAGGATCAGGAAAAATGTCATGTTGTGATTAGTACTTTTGTGTTTCCTCTAGGAGGGAGGAGAGTGGGCAACAGAGCTAGAGCTTTTCTGAAACCAGCCTTTCTGCTTCGTCTCCTTTCTTTTCTTTGTAACCCTCAGCCTCAGTGTTCTACTGTGTCATAGGAGACATAGCAAGTAGAATATCATATTGTGAGGAACCAAAGTGGTTTCCCGGAGCATTTTCAAGTCTGTTCTTTCATTTGAGCTCGGTAAAATGGAGGAATCATTATACATGTTTTATAAGTGAAGAAGCTGAGGTTACGTGCTGTGGTCTGGTGTGTCTAGATCTCATCTCAGGCTTCCTGGCTCTTGGTCTGCCCACCCATACCAACTTTTTCTAGTTGCCATGAGCCAGGACCATCCCAGTAAGTCTTTGTTTTGAAGGATTCAGAAAACAGTTTAATTTTTTTTTTTTTAATTTTTGAGCTTAAGACTATTTTTTTTTTTTTTTTTTTTCAAGGACATCAAGGATAGGATGACGAGAATGGAGTTACTGGTTTTCTTTCTCTTAGTTTTTGTTAGCTTTCAGAAGCCTCCGGCAGAATACTGCATGAAGTGAAACCTTTTTTGAGGTTACAGATGCTGTTAGTAACAGAGAGGGAATTTGCAGTCTACTCTGAGCTAGTGTGGCTACTATGTTCCTGCTCCCAGATGTACGTGTGTGTTCAGATACAGAAGCCTCTGGGTTAAACAGAGACATAAATCAAAGAGAACTAAAGTTTGAAAAACACAAGCACATACAACTGAACAAAATCATATTTAAGCAAAAGAAAAACTTTCCAGAACACAACTGCTAATGAAAATAACATCACCAGTCCTGAAAATGTGGTCATTGTTTTGTCTATTAACATCTATCGGATAGATAGTCTTGAGTGATGACTCCAGCTTTTTAAGCTGTGCCCTGATGGTAGCTGATGACTGAGTTTTGCCCCAGTGATGGTTGGTGACTGAATATGGTGAGAGCAACACTATCTTCTCATCTCGTTTCAGCTATGTTGGCTATTGGGAATCTGTGCCTCCTTTAGACACGTCTTTCTGTAGAAGGCTATTCTATCATGGTGGACTTTATAAGGCCACTCATGTGGCGTTAGGGTCATAGTGGTGCTGCATGTCATTCTAGATTATATAGAATATAACCTCACACTCCAGAGAACCTAAAAAAAGTAGACAGATGTTCCAAAGACTGGTGCTTTCATTTATCTCTTTGAATACAGGATGGTTCCCTTACATCTGTTCCTGGAAAGTTATTAAAAAAAAAAAGTAAAATGTGCACAATATCATTTATTAGGGAGAGGGAGAGAAGTGAAGGTAAAGAGAAATGAAGGGCCTAGTACTTCAGAGTTCTGTGGTAATTTACATCGAAAAGCAAATGATCAGACACGCCCATGCAAAGGCATCTATGTACATATTTGTAAATGGATGTTTTGCAAGGCTCCATTTGTTTAAGAGGAGAGTGATCTTGTATTTGCAGATGTAGAGACCTGTTTGTAGTAGACATTTGTCCTCTATTAGTACCATCACATCAGAGGGGGACATTGTGGCTAATAGTGGGAAGCTGGTCACACTAGCAAGTGTGAATGGGCTGATGAAAATGTGCTGGCAGAAGGGAAAGAATTCTGTCTGAAAGGCTGGTGCTGGGAGAAGAGATGCTTTGGGAAGTAAGTTACTGTTATCTCAGGACTGTAGGGATGGCTCAACATTCATGGAGCAATTAGCGTATTGTTTCTCAGCCCTCTATTGGCCACCAGTGTGTCTGTGGGCCGGCTGTACATGACTCCAATGCCCTTATTCTAGAGATGACCTCCCAAAGTTCTGTATAATTTTGGGACTGTAATGCACACTACAGATGCCTTACAAGTCCATTTCCTGTATATCACAAGCAGTTATGCCCCTGACTCAAGGAGGGTCAGCCCTCTAGTCATAGATGGTACAGATTAAAACTCCTTGTCGTACGTACAGTCCAGCATCCTTGCCCATCTTATCACTTGCATTCTGGGAATGTTCACATTTGGGTTTGGGGATCTTTATGTTTACCCTTATCTCCAGAATTTCCTCCGTGTAATTTCATATGTAAACCCACAAAACAAAGACAATGTGTGGAAAGATACTTTTCAAGGAAAAAAAAAAAGAGAGAAGAATTCCTTTTTTTATCAGGTGATATGGTGAGATTAGAGCCCAAAGTTTGGTGTGTTGCATATATTAAAAGTGGGACCAGTAGAGATGTCATATTCTGGGTACTATGCAAGTCTGGGGGTTTGTATTCACTACTCAATGGCTGATGTTCAATAAAGTGGTATAACTATGAAGCCTGGGGGGGGGGCGGTGAAAATCACATTGGTGGGTCGAAGGAAGTAGGGTGAGGAGGATGGGGTTTATGGGGGGATACAAAGTGAATAAAGCGTAACTAATAAAAGTAAAAAAAAAAAAGAAATATGGGCTTACAACATTAAGGGGAACAAGACAAAGACAAAGCCTGTTAGAGAAGAGCGTCTTTCAGATTTTTCACTGCCACCCCTCAGAGGTTACAAGCTTGTCATCTCAGCACGAGGAGCCGCCAGTGTTGCTGGCACCAAGGTCGCTAGGCTGGTTTCTGTTATGACAGTTCTGTCCTTGATGGTTTCCAGTAACACACGCTTTCTAATAAATTGGAACATTTTTATTTTCTGGGTGAAAATCTTGTTACATATTTCCCAGACTGAACTGAAAGTAATGAAACCGTACACCCAGACCATTGTTTGGGCACCATGATTCATTTCTCCTGTTATTTGTTCTAAAATAGCACTTTTAAGAATCTAGTCAACTTGTCTGTACTAAGACCAGCAAAACTTCAAAGGAAGCAGCACCCTCTTCATAAAACCACAATACAAAAGACTTGGCAAAAGCACGTTCTCATAAAGTAAGTCAAAACCAAGGCATGAATAAATTATTTTTCTTCTCTCAAAAAAAAAGTATTTTATATTATAAATTCCCTTGGTGTATCTTTTTCAGGGGAGAAATCCCTCAAATTGGATCTCATTATTTCTCCCTTTGTTGTTATGTTTCGTTCTTTTCTCCCTGTATATATAGAAACACAGAAAAAAAATAGATAACACAATTAGATACTATATCAGAATTCTGTTGGCTTTGGTGTTCTGCCATCTGTGTCACACAGTCACTGACACACTGAGAAATCAGTCCCCAACCCGAGGCGACTGGAAGAAGGTGATGTACCTCAAACGTGGTTTACGGAGCAATAAAGTATGCGTAAGGACTTCAGCTCCCTCTACTCCGCCCTTTTGGAATATCTAGCCTTTTTCTTTAATATCGGTCACTAGTTCATCTCCTACTTCTCCATCTCCTGAGCGAAGCTTATTCTCTGCACTCCTTCCTCACCAGGGCAGTTCATTCATCCTTAGAACTTTACTTAACAACCACTTAAGTATCAGTGGTTGATGTACAGTGTTGGAAGTGCCTGAGGGACAGTGGTATGCAAGAGGTTCAAACACCCAGCTTGCTCCAAACTTAAGACCCTCCTTATCTCAGCCCAAGGTGTCAGAAAGCTCAGAGGTCCACCAGTCAAACAGGAGGAGAGCTCTGCTTGGGCGGTGCTGGAGCTCTCCTTGGCTTTATGAACTGAATTGCTGCAAATGCTTTCCAGAATGATCCCAGCAATTCTGAGCCTATTGTCAGTGGGGAGATGAAGGAAGGGAAGTTGAAGAAATAGAGTGGTTTCTCTCAGAATAAGAATTTAGGAAAAAAAAAATGGTTGAGTTATTTAAATCTGAAATACATACTCCCACTTAATGTTTGGAGGAAGGGCTTTCCCTCTTCGCTAAGCATTAACCATGTCTCATACAACTAAGGGCTTTAGAATACACATATTAACCTCTTTATTTGAAATCAGCATGTTACTTTTCTCTACTTTGAGCTTTCTTTAAGAGACATAAACATGCTACTTGAATGCTAAATCCCACAGAGAAATTTGGTAGAATTCCAAAGTTTTCTAATTGGTCCTTGAATGGTGACTCTAGGCCTCTGTTCAGTCCGTTGATGTATGAAGGGGGATTTCCTTCTTTTTAGTGTGGTTGTCGTTACTAAAATTGGCTAATAAAGTTGCTTGGACAAGTCTGAATGTGGAAAAGCAGAGAAAGGATAGTAGCTAGAGGGGAAAAATGTCAGGGGAGGCTTTCAATGACTAAAGGACTTTACTTTATTGATAAGTTAGGAGGTTACAGGACCAGAAAGAGCAGTGCCAAGGACAAAGGCAGAGAAAGGATTGTTGATGACAGAATCTTGGAGGAGACAGAAGAAAGGGAATCAAAGTCATGACTTGGGAGTTGACCTTGATCTTGAAATGGAGGAAAATCCTCTATCTTCCGAGTGGCAAGAGAATGAAAGGTTTCTAAAAGGTTTCTGTCTCAGAGGAAGGCAGTTGAAACAGCTCCCTGACAGGCTTGCCTTTCTCATTCAAGTAAAGTGATATCCGTCCCACTGAGGGTTGATAGGGCCCAATCAGTGGTCCTGAGGAAGATCCTGTACATCAGGGAGGCTGAGAACCACTGTGTTAGTAAGGAAGATTGTCATGGGTAATGTGGTCACTTACAAGTAGATTTCTGAGCTGTGCAGGAGATGAGACTGCATT